CCACTCACCTCAGCCTCCTAAAGGCGTGGGATTACAGGCTGAGCCACCGAGCCCGGCTTATGCTTTAAAATTTAAAATGGGATTGCATTATATGTATTGTTTTGCTATGTATTATCACAATATATCATAATCATCTTTCCAAATCAACACATATTGACCTTTCAATAATCTTAACATTTCTAGGTTAAACCTCTTCCAAGACTGTCTTTCAAAGATGGAATCAAGTCTTCATGCTCTGGTCTCACTTACCTTTCCTTTACGCTTCACTCTTCCTGAAAGTCTCCAGATCCTGGACAAACCACTACAAACCTTCCCTCCTCTGAGGCTGTGCAGGTACCCAGGGTTGAAATCTGTCCTGTATGTCACAGCCAACCCTACTGCCTCCACCTCCACCTTCTGGATCCCTCTGAAGTCCCCGGGAAGGAGTGTCTCAGAATCTTCTGAGGTTCTCAGTCCTTTGTACTATTCTAGTACTGAGCACCCTCTCTCTAGGATGATGGGTATTTGTAACTACTAGGTAGTAAACAGCCTGAGGACTGGCTCTGATGTCTCTTTGTACCCTCACAGTGCCTAAGGACAGGGCTGGCAATTGGCAGACACCCAAGTACTTGAACAGCGTTGAAAAACCCTTACTAGAAGGGTAAACTGGCTCTGATTATATTATGGATTTTGAGTTTGCTTTAAGCATTCACACTCAACCCACTCATCTGGAGTAAAGATCCCAGAGATGCTTGTCTTTTATTCCTCTCTCTGAGGCTCAGGAAGGCCTAACCTAGTAAGTTAGTGACAGGCATGCTGGGCTCATCTTTACACTAGCATTTCAACCATTCATTTTCCTGTCCTGAGTTTAAGATCAAAAGGTGGCAATCTGGATATTTCTGGGAGCAGCTGACCCACATCAGCAGCTAGCTCAGACACCAAATGCTGTCCTGTGGGCCTCCACAACCATCTATTAGAATTCAGTGATGAGGCAGGGACTCTGGAAAGCAGATTTACAAAAGTACGCGACAGATAAGCAAAGAGGCAGATGGGATGCAGATGAGCAAGTGATTGGTATGCAGGCTGTGCTGTCACATTCTAAAGGCTGCTTCATCACTGTCAAAGGAAGAGGACTAGGACTCCATGGCTGTGGCATAAGTGGTGGGGACAAAGATTTCTTGGAATCACTCTCCATCCCCTCAGCTGAAGTTACTGCAAACACTTTTGGAGTTTTTTCCTTACTGAGACCCTAAAAGTACTATCACTGTGAACACACTGAGCTTTTCCTTACTGAAATCCTTCCAATTTATTGCAGAGACAAGTCTCGCCATGTTGCCCAGGCTGGTCTTGAACTTCTGGACTCAGGCAATCCTGTTGCCTTGGCCTCCCAAAGGGCTAGGATTATAGCCAGGAGCCACAGGGCCCTGCCTATATTGTACTTTCAAGTTTTGCTCCATCCACACAAAGGCCTTTGGTGTGCTGTAATCTTTTACTGTCCTGTCAGCTCTGAAAGGGGTGAGGGAAAGACTGATAAGGAAGACTAAGGCACAAAGAAGCTTAGTCTCTGATTAGACTCTATGAACCCCTATGTCAGCAGTAGGCCTGGGTCTAAATCCAAGCCTCCTCCCTCCTAAGTCAAGCTTCTCACAACTACTCACTTAGGCTCATATCCCCTTTGCATCAGGAATGCCCTTTGAGGTTGCTGGGATACTTCTCTGGGCACCTGGAGGGTGGTTTGCATTTTTAGCTCCTTTTCAGGGATGGAGACTTAAAGGAGGAGGTGGAGGCCTGAAACTGGTGTCTCCAATGAGCAAATTTTTGTTGTTTTTTGTTTCTTGAAAAAGTCTTTGAAACTTTGGGAAAAGGATTCTATTATCTCCTAAGGACAATTTTAACCGATTTTATATCAGTTTCCAACACCTTTTGTATCTCACCCTATGAGGAGTCCAATGTCAAGGGCAATAATCATAGATGGTACTTTGCTCCCAGCACTCACAGGGCTAGGGAGAATCCAAATCCTGCAGTGTGGTGTGAGAATCCAACCACCCACTATGGTCAGTTCTACATTCTTTCTGGCTACCTCTAATCAAACGTATTCAAAGGTAGTCTGTGGACTTCACAGATCTGACTTGTTCCTCCATGTAGAAAAAAATAACACAAATACCAAAAAAGAAAGAAAAAAGGAAGAAAGTAGGGGAGGAAAAAAATAAGGAGAAACCAAGAAGCCCC